AGACCACTGTATATCATATCTTAAATGTGTACCTCCTCACAAGGAAGAATTAGACCAGAATTTCACACAGAAAGACTAACATAGAAAAAGTAAAGTCTAAATATGGCTTTGACCTCAGAATCACCCTTCTAGCTTAAATATAAAGAAAAGAGTTTAAAAAATGTTTTTTTTTAATGGTGTTCTATTTTGGTGTTTGATATGCCATTCTAAACTAGAATATTATAATTCAGAAGTAAATTTATGAAGCAAAGAAAATATATTCCTTGCCTCTTACCACAGTGACGTTCTCTCTACTGTCCATTTTTTTGGTCAGTACTTTTTAAACTGATACAAAAAGTAGTAGAGTAAAATCCAATTCCAAATACTTTTTAGAATACCAAGTTTCATCTCTTGAACTCTGAATTACATTATTCTAAATTCTGCCAAAGCTTTTTAGCCCAAACATATTAGACTTACCAGTCAAGAAAAGCTGAAAATAATGCCAGTGATATATAGGGGATACAAATGAATAGTGTTCCGGAATGAATTTGCCAATCTCAACTGATTAATTATTTTCAGGTCCAAGTGAATCAGGATGTAAGAATAACATCAGGAAACTATTATAACTGGTGCAAATAATGATACTTATGGTTAAGACTGCCCAGCACCATTATAAAACCCTGTTTTAAGTTGTTTATAACTTTACCAAACTTTAACCATTAGGGCTAAGTTTCCTATGTCATGAGTCTGCCTCAGGCTAAATTTTTCTACAAAATTTCAGCTGAAACCATTCAACTGTTTCAGAGAACAAAACTGGGGGAAAAGAAGATGTTTTAAAAAAGATTCTTAAGTCATTTCATTGAGAAACTAGCACTTCCATATTTTGGAGCAAGGACTTGAAATTCAGCATTGGGACTTTGGTGTCAGGGATGTGCCTTTGCCCTTCCCATGGTAATTTGCCCAAACTTGATCACCTTATGAGACTCTGAAATGTCTCAATTTGCACATGATCAGCGGTGACTTAGAGTTTGACAGCTAAATTCTCCCAGGATTGTGTCTACTGAGCATGCTCCAGCCCAAGGCCAGAGGGGCTAAGAAGGATTTTCCCTGCAACTGATGACTGCCAGAGTCCACTGTGAAGCAGGACACTGGAACTGAGAGTTGCAAAACTGTCTCTCCTCTGCGTTCAATGCCCCTTTTGCTGGTGCAAGAAGCAGAAGGAAGGTGGTTCCTGACAGGAATGCAGATGGATTGGGAGGGAGGAGTGAAGGAGACAAGGTGCAGAAGTTGTAGAAACCATAGCATGGTGTAGCAGAGAGGGGAAAGAACAGGACCAGAGGGTTGAGAAATGGAGGCAAGCAGCAGCTGGGGTAGGTGGGTTGGATAGAAACAGAGGAGGAGGGAGACAGGAGTCAGGGTGTGGGTTGGATTAGAGCAGACGAAGAGTAGAGTAGAGATGTGTTCAGGGCTGCACAGGAGCAGAGGGGAAAAGGGCAAGACACATTCACATATATAACTTTAATTCAAACCTCAACTAGATTAGAGTAAAAACACATCTTGATAAAATAGTTTAAACATCTATGAATGTACATGTGACACAATCATACTGTATTACAGGGGTCGGCAACCTTTCAGAAGTGGTGTGCCGAGTCTTCATTTATTCACTCTAATTTAAGGTTTCGCGTGCCAGTAATACATTTTAACGTTTTTAGAAGGTCTCTTTCTATACATCTATAATATATAACTAAACTATTGTTGTATGTAAAGTAAATAAAGTTTTTAAAATGCTTAAGAAGCTTCATTTAAAATTAAATTAAAATGCAGAGGCCCCCGGACCGGTGGCCAGGACCCAGGCAGTGTGAGTGCCACTGAAAATCAGCTCATGTGCCGCCTTTGGCACGCGTGCCATAGGTTGCCTACCCCTGCTGTATTATATCCAAAAATGAACATTACCTGTGCAACCTTAATTTGGCCCCTTGTGAGCATACATTGACATAGTGTTTTAATAACAGTGGGACAAGTCTACATAAGCATCTGTATAAAGCTTAATGTTTGATTAATTGATTTAAAACCTGCTTTAAATGTACAATTCAGTGCAATCTGCACTATGGATCTGGTAGGGAAATCTCCATAATTCTAATCACACATTCTTGCACTATACAAATACTGAACAATACTGCTAATAAAGATGCATGCATCTCATATATATGGATAGACCGTGTCTTTACGTTTTGTTGTTGTTGTTAAAATAAATACAGTATTTGTCAGTAGAGAGGACTTTGAGAAATTCAACTCTGCATCCAGTCTGTAGCTCAGTCCACCTTTACTTGGACATGTGAGTATTTTGATTCTATGTGCTTACATTTTGGCTGAAATCCTAAAACTATCTCTGGCCCTGCTTTGACAGGCAAAAGGGTATGTTTTTCAATTGTGTTAGCTCAATCCAATTAACACAATTGAAAAGCCCTGTTAAAATGCAGACTAGCATGTCCGAAGTTGTCATGTTAAATTAACCTGACTGAGCTAACACAATTGACAAAACACACCCTTTTTGCCCCTGAAGACATATTCTCTGTGTATTTGTAGTTTACTGAGCGGCTGTCTAGCTTTAATTAGGAGCCAGACATTTGGATAATATCTGAAACATCACATTCATCCATACACCTAGAGTAGCTTCTTTATACTATGTTGTTTTCAAAAACAAATGAAACAGTAAACGATATTCAGTGCATAGTACAATAAAAAGTAAGTATTTTGCTATTTATTTACACATTAACAAGACTGCTCCTCTGAAAAAACAGTACATTTCTCCATTAGGTCACCTTAATAAGGAAAAAAGTCCTTTCCCCTTCCTTCAGAACACAGGCTTTCCCCTTTTGCCAGCTACTGAAGCCTAAGTTTAGCCATTGGTCTGAAATGTGGACTGAACATCACAGATTGGGAGGAGAAAAAGGGAGAGGTGTTTATTTCACAGGTAAAATGGAACATTTGGGGAGATCACAGCCTGCCATTTTACTGTGGAAGAGAACAGCAGCATGAATTCATCTTTATATTTTTTTCAAGTGGTACTTTAGTCTAAACCAATCCTCTTTGAGCAGGAAAAGAAGTTGTAGAAACAGCTTTGCCATGGCATCAGTTTCAGCAGCAGCTTCAGTACTGAGTTGGGAAGGTTGCAACACAGAGACTCATGGAGAAGTAATACCCCAGCAGATCAATCAATTTAAAAGATACTTTGCTTAAATCATTCAGGGTCTTTCAGTTGCTGGACTTAATTCTTTTACAAAAAAATGAAATAAAATAAAATACAAAGCCACAAAGTGGATGGGAGAAGAGAGTGCTTAAAATGGTACAAACCAAAGTTAAATTATTGATCAGTGAATCTGAGCCTCCTCCTGCCCACCTGCTTATGAAGCAGGAAACCAGACTCTCACATATGAGCAGAAACACTACAGAGATGGACCCAGAGAATTGGAGGTGTGGGAGAATTATGGAAAGCAAAGAGGAAGGGGGAGCTGATTTAAACATTTTTAAAACATGTGAACCCTGTAATCAAAAAAGGAGGGACAACATCATGGAGAAGTCAAGTTAAGCAATTTGTTTACTTTCACTCTCCACCCTTGCTATCACTTTTTTGGAGGGAGGAGCAAGGGAAGGAAGATGAATGAGAGGAAGTGGATTTAATTGCCTCCAGTTTTCATAAAAGTGAAGAAAATCTCATACCTCCAGAGCCTACAAATGGGTATTAAAGCAAAACATCCACACATAGATACAGGGCAGTGAGTAGCATGTGGGCTTGGGATGTAATGTTTTTCTCTCCTCCCCTAACAAGACACTGGGAGAGGGAAATAGACAAGCAGCAAGTGGGAGAGCTGCAGCACATGTGATGAAGTGCTGCCCATCTCGGTCAGCGTTGTCTCCTTCCAGAAAGACAGTGAGTGGGAAGCAGAAGAGAAAAGGCAAAATGGGGGACAGAGCAGGGTAGTGATTCCCATGAGAGGAGCAAGGTGGAGTGGTGGGTGAGCGGCCTGAGGGTTGCAGCACCCCCAGAAGGAATCGGGGTGAGAGTAGGAGAGGGATGAGAAGGGGGAACTGCAAGTGGGTGCGTGAGAGGAACAGACGAGAGGAGGAAGACGAGGCGGATGGGAAGGAGGAGGACAGCCTGTCCCACCGAGACGGCGGGTGCGGGAAGCAGGTTTGCAGCGATCAGCGCACGAGGACGGGGGTGCTCGGCGCGGGGTGCTCCCAGCAGAGGAGACGGGCGGGCGAAGCTGTTCCCGCACCGGAGGAAAAGTGACACAGAGGATGGGGTGAGGTCAAGGTACCCCTAGGAGAAATGGGGGCGGCAGTTGAGAGAGGGAGAGTCACGGGGTGGAGCGAGCTCAGAGTGGCGCTGGGGGGGGAGCGGGTGGCGAGGCCTGGGCGCTGAGTGGATGCGTCCGGGGAATGGGGGGGAGAGAGTTGCTCCCGGGGAGGCTGGCCCGTGCGGGGGATAGGTGATGTGAGGGGGCAGCGCCCCGTGCCCAGCCAAGGGATGAGAGGGCTGGTGGGCGGGGGGCTGCCCCCCCCAAAAGAAGACGAGGACGGAGCGCTCGGTGGGTCCCTACCTCCCGCGAGACCTCGACCGCGCCTCTTCTTGGAAACAGCGCGGAGTCGCCCACGTTTCTCACCGGACACCGTCCGCGGCCCGGGGAAGGGGGGAGGTGGCGGCCGAGCTAACCCGAGCCCCACACTCCCAACGCCCGGCCCGCCCACTGATCCCACCCCGCTGCCGCCATTGGCTGAGTCGCACCCACACAGCGGGCCCGCCCCCAGCTCTGCCACAACCAACCAATCCCATAGGCCGCCCCCTCGCCACCGCCCCTGTCGCTTACCCACTGGGAGTAGCGGAAACAGGGACCAGGGGCCAGGCCACTCCCGGTTGGTGAGAATTCCTCCTACCACTTTCGATTCCTATTGGTTGAAGTGGCCTGCAATCCTCTCGATTCTGCTCCCTGATTGGTCTTCCTCGACACTACCGCGGTAGGGTGCGCACAGACCTGTTCAGCTCAGCGTGTGACGGAGAAGGGTGGAAGTTAGAGCTATGGCCATGATTCTCATTGGTCGGTGGGAACGTGGGCGCCGTGCCCTCGCGACGCTGACGCAGTGACGTACGGGAGCGACTTGGTCCGATTCCCAAGATGGCGCCGCGCAGGGAGCGAAGGTGTCGTTGTCGTTAGTGGCCTCGCTGTGTTGTGGGACCCTCGCGTGCTTGATTCGTGAGTGTTTCTCGAGGGGAGCGTCTCTCAGAGTGGTATTGGGGGTGACGAGGGGCTCAGGGCTGGGTGAATGGGGACTGGAATGCCGTGGGGAGGGGACTCCTGGGTCTGGAGCGAGGGCCGGGGCGCAGAGGAGAAGGGGCTGTGATAGTGGGGAGGGATGCTGTGGCCAGGCCGCTGGGTATGGAGTGAGGCGCAAACTGAGATCCTGGCCAAAAAATGGCGGGGGTGGCTGTGGTCGGTGGTCCTGAGGCAGCGGGGGATTGGGGTGGTGGGGTGGGCGCAGGCCTGGGGCTGAGTCGGCGCGGTTGAGAGCTTGCGGTGCGGGGGACCGTGGAGTTGGGGAGGGGCTGTGTGGAAATATGCGTGCAAACACGGATACCGTGCCAGCCGGCCTTGTGCGCTGTTTCTCTTACTTAGTTCAGCGTCTCCCTGAATTCTCGTGTTTGAGGGAGCCTGGTGTCATAAAAAACATAACATTGCTTTTCGGTTCGGGTGTGCTATTTGTGTCACAGGTAGGAGAAGGATAGTCAAGACTGTACGTTGGATTAAATCAATATTTCTTTGCTGGCTATGAGATAGTGTGAACTTTTCCAAGAGCAGTTTCACTTTATCAACTGGTTTATGTTTGAAGGTGCTGTACTAAGGAGGGTAGGAATGAGCTCATGGTGCCTTTTGTGATGTATAAAGAGGATTTTTAAAATAAAACTTAGTTTAATGTTGTTAAAATATTGAGTGTACCAGATTTTGTCTGTTTTGGTTTTGATGGGAAACTTCTTGAAACAAAGGATTGAGAGTTTTACTCCTGAGGGAATTCTGCACCAAAAAATAAAAAATGCTGCATACAATATTTTAGAATTGTGCAAATTTTATTTGTCAATAAATGTGGAGGCTCCAGTGTGGTAGTGGGGAGCACAGGCAACTGACTGCACAGAGGTAGGAGATCCCCTTGTAGCTCCTCTCATCCACAACATGGCAGTGAGGCTGCATCTGACCCTGACACAGCACAAGGGCTGGTTCTGCCCCAGAAACATCTTGGGGTTCTGCCCCTCTGCACCAAATATGGGCTGGTAGGCCGAGCTCAGCAGGATCAAAGTGTGGAGGGTTTTGGTGTGGAGCGAGAGCATTCTGTGTGAGAGCAGCCTATTAAGTGCCATGCAGGCACTCGGGGCTGCGGCAGGGAGAGATGCCTCTACTCCCCCAGCCCAGGTGCTGCTACTGGAAGAGAGAGCTGGGGAGAGTCCTCTTTCCCACCGTAGCTCCAGGGCAGCCTGCACCCCCTCCCCAGCCCTGCGGCAGCTCTCCGCCCCCCCCCCCCCCGGGAGCAGTGCGGCAGCTCCCCACCCC